GAGTTGAAGTCCACTCATCTTAAAGTGGCCAAGTTTGGACAACACTGACTTAAGTGATGGGACCCAGAGCATGCCAACTGTACTGGATATTATCAAATGGACAGAGATAATGGCTCTGCAAATAACCATCTCCAGTGTCATAAAAGGCTTTAAAAGCGATCTCCAGCACCTTCAGTTGCACCTGGAAGCCCATTGGTAACCAATGCAACTTGCAAAGTAGCAGTGTTACATGGATGTACCAAGGTGTGCTATAACTTCTGGGGATTTTAATGGGCACCCTCCTGTAGAGTACATTGCAGTAATCTAAATGAGAGGTGACCAAGGCATGAGTGAATGAGATTTGGGGCTCCTGAACTAGAGAAGGAATCCTCTGGATCCAGGAAGGCTCAAAATTCACAGCTATCCAATCTTACTAGTGTTGAGAGTGAGCCTGTTCCTTTCCTTTTACATTCCCATAGCCTCCAGACACTGAGTCAGAACTTTGACAGCATCACTTGGCCAACCAAGGGCTGAGTTGTATAACTGGGTATCATAAGAGTATCGATGATACCTAACCCCATGCTGAAGGATGATTTTACATGAAGGCCTCATGTAGATCGTGTAGAAGCAGGGAGAAAATAAAGCCTTGAGGCACCCCACAAAACAAGGGTGGTATGCTAGACCTCTCCCCAACATCAACATTGACTGGAACTGCCCTTGGAGGAGAACTACCACAACACCTTGCTTCCCACTCCCAACTCCCCAGGCTGATCCCAACAGTTACCATGATTGATAGTAGTAAAAGCCATGGAGAGATCAAGGCTGGTCCTACCACAGGTCATCCACAAACATGATCAATATGGTCCTAGTACTGTGCCCAGGCCTGAAACCTGACTGAAAGAGATTCAGACAGCCCATTTTCTCCTGAGCCCTTCTGAAGCTGCTGTCTGATTACCGCCACTCTGAGTGTAGAGAGTCAGGAAGATGAACTTGAATGAAATATGCAAGAACCATTACACGGGCAAAAAGGGCTGAAACATTTTTTTAAAGTCCAGAATAATGAGTGAACATCTGGAAGTGGCTCAGGCAAACATCTCCCTAATTGACTAGGGTATAAGTAGGAAGAGAAGGGTAGCATAACCAGATTTGCAAAATTCTGTTGTTATAGCCAATCTCAATAAAAGTAGTTTTTGCCTTCCTGTGGAGTTGATTTTCTGATCTGGTCTACCTAATACAGCTGACAGTGAGGAATAGTCTGACTATCTGGCAGGTAAAATCACTCAGATCCATACCAGGTTGAAATTCAACTGGATAAGTCTGGCTGAAGAACCAGGGATGTGGCCTTGTAGTCTGATCTGGGATAAATTTGAGTTGGTGGCTCTTGAGGAAATGAATAAGATCTTCTGTGCTGAAGTTTGGCCACCTGTTTGTTGAACTCTTGTCCCTCTGGTTAGTTAAGGTGACCAGAGAGGTGACTTGTAGTTTGGTCCATGCTGTGGTAATGGGCTTTTTGAGGGTGGCTGTCTCAAGAGGCCATCCTTTGGACCCAATAATGTTAGACAACTTTCATCCTGTCTCTAATCTTCCCTTTTAAAGGAAGGTTGTTAAGAAGGTGATTGGTTGCAATTGCAGAGGATCCTGGAAGAATCAGATTTTCCAGATACATTTCAGTCAAGTTTCAGACTGGGATTTTGTATGGAGACTATCTTGGTTGAACTTGTAGATGACCCATGGTGGAGCCAAGATGGAAGTGGTGAATCCATCTTGTGCTTCTTCACCTCTCAGTGGCTTTGGAGATCATTGACCTGGTATCCTTCTGGTCCATCTCTAGGAGTAAGGTATTGGTGGCTTCTTGTTCTTTGTTCCTTCTGGGCAGGTTCCACTCAGTGCTGACTGGGGGGAAAGGTTGCTTCCCAGACCCCTTCATTATGTGGTGCTGCAGGATCTGACACTATTTTCCCTTTTGTTCAACATCTACATAAAACTAGTTCTGGGTTTGGTATCATCAGTATGCAGATGATATCCAGTTGGACATCCCTGGGCTGCAAAGGTGATGTCAATGTACAGATCCAGTATCTGGAGGCTGTTCATGGCTGGATGGGGAGGAAGATTTTGGATAAATCTAGACAGACTAAGTGGCTGTGGTTGTTTTGGCTCCCTGATTTAGGGATTTTTTCACCTTTGGTCTTGGATGGGGTTGTACTTCTCCATTTGAGACTAGCACACAATCTGGGGGTCTTCCTAGACTTACAGCTACTGCTCGAAGAGCAAGTGGAAGCTATGGCTAGCAGGGCCTTTGCACAGGTTCATCATGTGCCAGGTGCACCCTTTCCAGGGTGGAGAGGCTCTTCACATAGTCACTCATGCCCTATTAACCTCATTGTTTGGTTATTGTAATATGCTTTATGTGGAACTGCCCTCTGAAGACGACTCAGAAGCTTCAAATGGTCCAGAATGCAATGGTGATGGGTGTGCCTTAGTATGCCCATATGATATTCCTGTTCTAAGAGCTGCACTATTATTAGTATGCTTCCAGGTATGACTCAAAATAATGATTATAAAGCCCTAAATGTCATTGGGCCTGGTTATCTGAGGTACCGCCTATCTTCCATGGTGTCTGCCTGGCCAGTAAGAGCTGACAGGATTGGTACACTCTGGATCCCTTCGATTAAACAGTGTCATCTATAAGGCCCCAGGAAGCATGCCTTCTCTGGAATGAGGCCCCCCCTGATATTCATGTTGTTCCCACCCTGTTGGCATTCCAGAAAGCCTTCCAGACCTGGCTGTTCTTCCAGCCTTGGGTTCAGGTGGCTGGGGTCCCTGTTGGATATGTCTGCATATGTGGGTGTTGTTGTCTGGGCTTGCCATGTTGTTTTTTATTTCTTTATTTCTCTTTATAGTCCAATTTATTTTGTACTTTCTACTTGTTTGGTTTTATTGTGAGCTACCCAGAGTCAGTCTGGAGTCAAGCAGTGCCTAAATTGAATTAAATAAATAGATATTTAATTTAACCTCCTCTACAACTCTAAAAAGGAAAGATTGGAAAGAGCCTGGAAAATATCCAACACCTTTAGATCCAGGTGGGCCACCACCTCCTTAAGTGCAGTTCTTCATTAAGTGCATGGATTTAATAAATAGGTGGTTGCACAACCAACATTGAGGACCTGTCCTCTTCCTCAGGACCAACAGGCTCAAACTCCTCCATGTCAGTCCATACCTTAGTCACAGCTATAGACCAGTTGTGAAGAGGTCTGAGCAATTTTATCCAACAGAAACTTCAAAAAATCTTAGAAATCAATGGTTAACTTTAAACAGGGCCACTGGACAGCACTTTGCAGAAGCAATATGAGCAGAGAAATCTGGAATCTATGGGCAGAGAATGGTCACATAGGTACAATCCAGTCCAAGGCAACAGACACCCTTTAATTCCATGAGGAAATTATGGCCTCGTTTAAACTGTGCACTAGATTCTCAGGAACCTCCTCAAGTGCTCTCTGAAACTTGATGGGGCTCATCTGAGGCAAACCAACAGAATGGGCTCTCCCTCCCCTGCAGTGGGGAGCTGGCGGGGAACTTCAAAGCAATCAAAGAGCTTTAATGATAATCGATGTTAACTTCCCCAAGTCCAGATCATGTTGCCACTGCCCCAAGACAAAAAACCAGATCCAATATGTGACCCCCATTGTTCATCGGGCCCTCACTGACTTCAGTCAGGTTCATGGTTGCCATGAACTCCTGAGCCACTTGGATTGTGAGTAGAGTTTCCTAGACTTATGTACTGGGAGACATCAACCTTCCTTCTCTGGGTGTAGAGTCTGATTGACATCTCCCAATACCTAAGTCTAGAAAACTTCACTAACAATCCAACCACAGTGTTGGGCAGCTCCAGACAAGGAAGCTGCTATCTAGTAGTGAGGGTGGTATAGTAACAGCAATCCCATCTGTTCCCTAGAGCCTAACTTTACAAAGAAGGTCTCACATGCAGTTACCTGAAGCAGCACCTCTGAAAGCCACAGAAGACTCACAGTTAGCAATAGCCACCTCCTCCTCCTCCCTTACTCTGGGGTCATGGCTGGTGCCATGCAAAAGCCAGGTGGGGACATTACCAATAAGGAATATCTCTAACTCCCTCCCCCCCGGCCGCAAATCCATGTCTCAATAACATATGAGATCTTACATGAAAACATCCTTGTCTGGCATTGAGCAACAACAACATGAGCCCACAACTAGTGAGGATCTGGTATCCAGGCACTGGCATTGAACCTGAGTGGGTAGGTGGCAATTTTGAACATGAGGTCACCTCTTTATGTATTTATGGACCAAGATAAATTTACATCTAGGTTATACCTGAAGTGAGGTAGGATTTCAGACATAATTTGTATCCATACACTGGCCAAATGGATTGGAATTAGAAGCTTTACAAGTCTGCTGTGTCATTTTGAAGTGACTTCATAGCACTTAGCAAAATATAATTCAAGATGCTGATACCTGTGCTGTTGATCCTTGCAGGCTTTCAGCCTCTGGTTTCACTCAGTGATGCAAAAATAAATGGGTGGCAGATGGTCTTGAGCTCTGCAGCAACAGAACTTCTTTTCTTCATGGACCTCATTGATTTCTGCAAGAGAAGATGAAGTCCTACTGGTTCTTCTTCCTCCAAGAATGGATCAACAGCATCCAAAGTGCTTTCTACACGTCCCATCATTGGCTGGACAAAAGGCTCAGGTTTTGGATCATGACAAGGGCATGGAAAGCAATATAACGTCTTCTTCTATCATGTAAAGACAGCCCCTTCCACAAATAACAGTTCTGGACATTTAGTAGCCGACATTCAGAATGACTTGGGCACATTTCATATATACTTGAATAGTAATGACAGGAGTGGGCAGAAACGTGATGACAGGCCATTCTAGAAGTAACCTGTGGTGATATGGTATGTTGTTTTCATTCATTGGCTCAAGTAGAGGGTAGCTTGGAAAAAAAATCAAAATGTTTTTCTGTGGTATTTGAGGAAGCTGTAGGTGCTTGCTGTAGCAGCACTATTTCAGACCTACTGGTGAGTAGGTCACAAAAGAATGCCTTTAGAAGTCATGCATACATTAGATTTCACTTCTGCCTATCTTCTTCCAGGATTTGATAAGCTGCCCACCTTGGCTTGATCCTCCACTTTGTAAACCAATATATGGCCCTAATTACCTGTATTTTGTAATCCTCATGAAAATTTGATTGATCTGCCTACCAACCTTGTATTTAATATGGTGGCATATCTTAAACTAAAAATGTATACATTTTGTTACATTTCTGAGTTAAAAAGTAGGTCACTAAAATTAGGGAAGGGTAGCATTCATTGTAGGAGCTGCTGATCAAGTTGGATTGCTTCAAAATGCAGACCAAGCAAAATCTTCAAGAACTTCTGTTCCCATGTGTATATCCTTAGAATTTCAGCTGCATCTTCATCTGGAAGTTAGTTCTAATGAATTAAGAGAAATTTGCATCTGATTATACAAGCATAGGATTTCTGTAAAACAATTTCTATTCCCAGTACCTTGTCACTGTTGTATTTGACTTTTAACTTTTTGTAAATAATCATGTTAACCCATTCCCCACTGACTGGGTTGAAGAGCTAATGTTAGCTTGGCAATTAATTTAACTAATCCATGGTAATATAAATGAGGGCAATTAATTCCACTTCCATAGTGGAATTGCATTAATTGTACTAATTAGTGTAATTCATTCTATTTTCACAAAGATTAGACAGCAAAGAAGATCCTAAAATATTTTGTCATATCTTCATTTAAGAACTATAAAAGGCTTATGGAGAAAATGAATGTGAATGAACAAGGGCTGGAAACTTTAATGGCACTACTAATACATTTTAAATGATAAATTTAAATGATAAATTTAAAGAAGCTATGCTATCCATTATTCACTAAAAAGCACAACATTTATAATTAGAAATGTTCTTGACTCTACAGTAGACTAATGCTTCACATGCCCCTCAATTTCAGAAAAGGAACTGGATGTCACTTAATACCACCTAGTCTAACAAATTGCAGAATTAGTAATCATGGAATTTTTAAGGAGCTTTCTTAAAGATGCATCCTTTTTTCCTATTGGTCCTTTGTTTCGAATAAAATAATATCAAATCAATGTATTATGGATTGTATCATGCATTAAATATACCATATGTTTAATCCAAGACTGAAAATATATTTCAAATCAATTCATCTTTTTAACTGAACATCATTAAATGTCTCTCTTGCGCATACATGAATATGGGTTATTAATTAATTAATTAATTAATTAATTAATTTAATATATCCATTTACATAGCCACTCATCTCGCAATTGTGATGCAATATTAACAACAATAGCAGTAGCAGAATATAAATGCAGAAACAGAAGCAAATTTAAAAAGTCCTTTGGGTGCAATAGAGGCCAAAATTAAATTTCTGTGCTTTGCCGTATGTATGCTAAATAAACACTCTAGTTATAAACCTGAACAACCCAACACAGCTAATGGAAAAAGAATAAAAAGATAGAAAACATATGAAATGAGTAAATTTGAAGTGACTAAAATGTAAACTATATTTCAACTGGCTTTGAAACATATGATTTGATCTCTCTTCTTTTTAAATAATGGACTTTTAAGATGATTACTTTGGAATGGATTGGGTCCATACTTTTTCTTGCTATTGAGCTCTCATTCCATGTAGCTCAGAGACTCCTGCATTGTCAGATCTAATGTGGGAAGCGAAAAGGAATGAGGCTATCTTTGAAAATTCTTCCACTTCAAGAGCTGGCACAGAAATGGAATACTAAGTTATGTCCTATATTAAGTACTTTAAATTCCCATTGTTACCCTTTATTCATGAAGGGGGCATGGAAGGCCATTTGAATAAACATGGAAAGGATTATTGACAATTAGCCAGGAACAAGAGCCTCTTAAAACAGTAGTGGTCAAATTTGCGGAAGCTGCAATGACTGGCATTGTGATGACGGCAATGTACTTCCTTTGTATTAGAGACAATGTGCCTCTCAATACTGGTTGCTGGGGAACCCAAATGGAGGATGGCAGTCATTTCTTGCTAGTGGGCTGCTAATAGGACATGTAGTTAGCCAGCTTAGGAAGAGAGTTGTGGACCACTTCATCTTCAATCTCCAAAAATTGCTTCTAAGCATTTAGGGGCGTGAACATAGCAACTATCTGCAGCACCTTAGAGAAGGAAGTTGGCTACTTGAAGATGTTACAAACAAGGCCCTACATTTGCTTGCCTCATGTTCCAAAGCACCTTTTGAAAAACAAATCTGAAGTCCTGCACAGCTCCATTCAATAGAACTTCAGTCTGATCCAGTAAAGTTGTTTATCAATAAGATCCAAGGCTTCTTCTGTTGGTCTAGGCAAGGTTTTACCTATGGAATATGTAGATAGATTCTGGAAGCACCTGACGATTGAGGTTTTTTTTCTCTTGAAGTGTCATTCCTTCTTAAAACATTCTAACTCTTAGCCCTCTTCGAAAGCCAGAAAAGAGATGTAAAATGGCCAGATGTGGAGCTTTATTGATAGGTTTGGAAAAGGGGATTAAAGGTAGGAATTATACTAATTTAGAGCCCTACTGTTTCTATTTTACTTTTAGCCTTGTCTCATAACTGCCAAGAAAACAGCTCTCCAAATTTCAACCTCATGTCTATCAATGACACTCCATTAACATATCCTCTGCAGCTTTCCAGAAAGTTTAGAGGCCAAGTAACAGGCATGATGATGATCATGTTGTCTAATTCAAGCTATTGTGATATATAAAACATGGGTGCCAAATATGGCTTATTCAATAAACAGTAGTCAAATAAATCATGACTTAGGGTGTTGTGTGAAACCATTTTTGATGAGGTACACCCCTGAAAGCCTCCCTATTATACAGTATTTATACAGGGTCACGTACCTTTGTTTTTTCTTTAAAAACACAATACTCTAAAATGGTATCAGACACTGAGTTTTAAAATTCCAAAATTGAATTTTTCTATTCCAGAGAAGTAAAATTCATACATATGAACTAGCATCTCTGCAAAATGGCAGTAATATGCTTGCAGTAATATTGGAATGGCTAAAACCAGTTAATTTCTGTTATCAATTCTCTGTTTGACCATCAGAATGTTTATTGGCACAGTAGATAAGAGATGAGACAGAATGGCATCGTTGCTCATCTATTTGTCTCACAGGCCATGGAGCGATTTCACAAAAGATCTGAAATGGCTATGTTCCTGCCAATCTGATGTGGCTTGGATGAGGAATCTGGAGATTAAAGAAAATAGCTATGATTTGTCTTTCTGCTTTTGTCTATAATTCAGTTATCTTGACACTCCAGGTAGTTTTCAGATTCGCATCTTCCTGCCTTCCAATGACTTCCTTATCTCCTACTTTATCTTTTTCTACCTTCCTTTTTTGTTTCTTCCCTTCATTGTTTTCCAAATCTTTGAAGGGCATGTTTGTTCTTTGAGATGAAATAAATACACTAAAATATATTTGTAACTTTATGAAGTACAATTTCTTTTTTCTGGACCATCAAAACTTGCAAGGCTTTCAGAAAATATGATACATGATATGTGTATTCCTTTGGGTAGATTCTTTTTATATAGCTGTACAAAATGCCAAAACAAATCCTTTTGTCATTTGCATTCTGAACATTCTTGTTCTTGATGAGTCTTCTGAACATTCTTGCATGGAATGTACAAACTGATGGCCAATTTGTTTATGTTTCATTAATAGAAGGAGTTTTCTGGGCATCTGGAGGATAAAATCACTTGGATATGTTCCCAGTTGGATACCAAGTGTGTGGCATGGCCTGTGGAGATGCCTGGGGTATGTACTTACCCTGTTATCTG